CCCCTCCACCCTTCCCTATTTACAAAGACTTTGTTTCTATTTTTTTCCTTTTCTCGTATTTTTTCTTTTCCCTTTTCCCTTACCCCACTCACTTCCCCTACTCCTTCAGACCTTTTGTTCTTATTTCACAATATCAGTTATACATTTTGATCCTTATTTAGACTTCAGTTTTTCACGCCAGGGAAACTGGTGTATACACGTGTGTCCTATTTCACTTGAGTATGGCCTCAATGTGCATCCACTTAGCTATAAATGTCTCTAGTTTCTTATTCTTTATGGCTGAGTAGTACTCCATTTTATTAAAAAAAAAAAACCCACATCATCTTCACCCAGTCTCCAGTTGATGGGTATTTGGGCAAAGCTTTAGCTGCTATAAACTGTGCCCCTATAGACATGGGTGAGCATATATCACTGTAGTATGATTTTTTAAATTCTTTTGGGAAGATACCCAGCAGAGGAATAGCTGGGTCAAATGGGATTTCTAATTCTAGTTTTTTGAGGTATCTCCATACTGATTTCCACAGTGGTTGCACCAGTCTGCACTCCCACCGACAATGGAGAAGGATTCCTTTTCCCCCACAACCCCACCAGCATTTGTTATTGGTTGATTTCATGCTAGCAGGCATTCTTTCTGGGGTGAGGTGGAATCTCAGAGTTGTTTTCATCTGAGCGCACACTCTTAAGCACCTAAATAGGACTCCATTCTCTGGATGTTACAACATGGTTCTCTTCAGCATTTAAATTTGAACTTAACGGGGCAGGGGATTTAGCTCAGGGGTTCTGCTGCCTGCCTCACAAGTGCAAGGTCCTGAGTTCAATCCCTGGAACACCCCCCCCCCAATTTTGAATTTAATGATTACAAGATTTTGTGATGTCATTCAGAATTCACTTTTCTTGCCCTAGGACACATGGGCTGTGTTTTTAAATGTAGAGGACTGTTTTGAAGCACTGAAATTTGTATTTTTGATGATGTCAACAAAAGTTCTTGATACTGTTTGTTAATCCATTACACAAAGTCTTATTACTTGTATTTGACTTTGGCAACCCTAAAGTTAATGTTGTCTGGGTTGAGGGAACATTGGTCTCTATCCTTTTCTTAATCTCTAAGCTATTCAGTTGTACTACTGTAATTTTAAAATCTCATGATGTCTTATTTAAGTATTTGAGATTTAAATTATGTCTGAGTATGAATTACCTTGGAATTCTTAATTATCTAGAATGAACTTTTTGTGGTAGAATATAAAATAGAAAACAATTGTAAGACCCAGGGTTTAATTTATTGATACCTGGGCCGGGAATTTAGCTCAGTAGTTCTGCCACCTGCCTTGCAAGCACAAGGTCCTGAGTGTGATCCCCAGTACCAAAAAAAAAAAAATTTATTGATATCTATGAGGTTATTGTGGTCTATTAACCAAGGTGTTTTTTTTCTCTCCCAGGCTATTCAAGATCTCTGGCAGTGGAGGAAATCTCTTTAAGAAAACAATTTAAACAATTTGTTAAAATTTTCCGTCTTCATTTCTGTAACAGTTGATATCTGGCTATCCTTTTTATAATGCAAAGTGAGAACTTTCCCTCCCGTGTTTGATAAATGTTGTCCAGGTTCCATTGCCAAGAATGTGTTGTCCAAAATGCCTGTTTAGTTTTTAAAGATGGAACTCCACCCTTTGCTTGGTTTTAAGTATGTATGGAATGTTATGATAGGACATAGTAGTAGTGGTGGTCAGAGATGGAGATGGTGGGGAG